CAGGTGTATTTCGTAGGCGTTTGTCTTTCTCTCTCTGTTTGGGTATGTATATGCTTGAGGGTTGTTGATAGGGCAGGTGGAGAAGTTACGAGCTCCTTCGCTCACATCTATGTGTATGGGTGTGTTTACTGAGAATGACCTCGAATTCTCTCAGATATGTACGTTTTCGTGTGAGTCATCTGTTCGTTGCTTGTGGTCCTCGTTTTGAGCTCCCCACCCACTCTGTTGCCCCTCGGCATTCGTTTGTTATTTACGTTCGATACGAAACCCAGTTTTCTGTGTGTGTGTGTGTGTGTGCTCGATTGAATCGCTGGTACAATGCAGGAAGAAAAATACGCACACATGGAGGTTATCAGTTTTAGTGATGAAACTGAACCCTGTTAACCTTTTATTGCCTTGGGAGATTTGAAGCCCCGAATCCCCTTTCATCAATACAGAAGGAAGACAAATGTCGCGAGATGTTAACATTTCGGTTAATTTTCTCATTCGCTGACTTGTAACAAACAGGCACATATAAAACACATGAGGTTGTTCAATTATGGTATATGAACGTGTACAAACACACAAAGATAGCTAAATATATACAGTGAAAAGGTTAACTCCACGAGAAGTGGACTGGTTTGTGTCAGAACCGTTTGTGCACATAAAACCGGGCAATCTAGTCGAATGAGCAACGCTTCAACTCCACGCTTCGAAGGTGCCTGCTATCAGTGTTGCGCACACGCATACACGATGAAACAGCGGAACCATTCAAACCAGAATCTGAGCAAAGCAGTTGACACAGAAAGTTTGCTGTTAGTTAAGCGGTTTGTGTACCGGTAAATCCACTATCTGTTCAACGCTATCACTACTTATCTAGCTTGCAGTTGACTATTCATCCGTAGTATGTGCCACGCTCCAAAAGTTTCCGGACGAGTCTTCCAGTGCTTTTCGGCCGTTCGTTTGTTTGCTCCCTGGTGCTTCGTTATTCATGTGTTAACATTTTCCTTGGAATTGCTTAAATTCATCCGTGAAAATTTCTTCTGTATCTGAAATTCCGATTCATGCGCCTTTCGTCGGGTACTATTCGTTGTGGCTTGTCCAGTCTTCCTTATGGTCATCGCCAGACCATGCTCGACAGATGTTTCATTCCGGTCCTTACGGTGTTTTTTAGAATGACTTTCGATAGCGCACATTATCGTCAGAATCAGTCATTGCCTACATGTTGTTGAACACCATCCACCGTCGAAATGAGGGTGTCACCAATTTGGTGTTCGGTTTCACTTTATACTACTCCATACACTTTCATGTGTCAGTTGTGGTTACTATCTTTTGACTACCTCTTTGGATTACTGGAGTGTTGGTAATCCACAACTCGAGTGGTGCACTGGGAAACTGTCTGTTGCACAAATGTAAAAGGTAAGATTGATCCAGGCGTCAAAGAAGCAAATTGATAATTTGAAGGAGTAGTTGGCTTCTCATAAGTGACTCCGGTGTTCAACGGTTCGTTCACATGTATTGCATATTGACACGAGTCTTGAATATACTACTCAATGTGAAATATTCAATGGGGAGGCTTCGGTCACGTTTGTTGCAGTTAGTGGCATTTAATCCACCTACAAAATATTGATCCGTAGTATTGATTTATAAATGCACTGGTTATGAAAAGGCTGTCCAAACAAATTTACTTGATGTTGTAAATGAGGTATTTGTGATTAAAACCCACTTCTCGGGTACAAGCATAGATGAATGAAATGAAGGTGGGTTAAATATATATATATATATATATATATATAGTATATCATTTCTCTCTTCCCCTATCTATCCTCTATCCCCTCTTCCGCTTCTCCTTGCTCATCATCTTCAAATCATTTCAAACGTACTCTTTCTCTTCTACTGATTAGCCTATTTTCGTGATTTTCTTCCAAACTGAAATCTCGGGCACTCATGTTACATTCGATCTGCCGTCATAGATACTGCTGTTTTGCTTTCTGCACACTACTTCGATCACTTTTTTGCTCGCAAAGAAGATCCCTGTTGGAGTATTCACCTACGCGAATACGAATCGGTCAATCATATTCCCATCAGTTGATATTCTGATTTCTCTCAGTAACAGCTTCAGCAGCAGCATCCTCTCACCTCGGTTAACGGCATCCAGAAATTGGCTGTCCACTGCGCGCGCACTGAAGCGTTGCAAATTAACTACTTGTTTACTGGACCATGCACGACGGATCCGTTAATTCAGTGTGTGATCTTGCCGAGCACATTTTGTTGTTCCTGTTCAGGATCTGTTGACTTTGCTTTGCAGATCGATTTATGAAGTCACTAGCTCGGTTTCGTTCCGTCGCATCTCAACCCCCTTCTCTCTCGCGTCTCATCCAATGTTTCACCGACTACTCATGTATCATCGCTTATTCACCGGCCGGGTGTCCCTTTCTTGCCACGGAATCGGTTCATTTCCGCTCGTCACTTAGCCACATGACCACACATCGATGTGATAGTTTGTCAGGGTGTGAACAGTAACAACAACAAACACGGCGAATCTTCAGGCAGTTGACTGGGACACCGGGACTATGTCCGAGATGGCGGATGAGATCATGCGTGATTGTTTGTGTGTCTCCGTGACTAAGCCAGTCACTTCCGTCAGATCCGAGATAGTGAACGAAATCATCGATTCTTCACTGAACCAATGCTGCTACCCTGTGGTGAAATCAAGTAACCGATCCAAGCGATAACGACAGATCCAATTCTCCACGGAACCGGATTACGAAAAACGGAACTCACCAATCTACTATTCCCTCTGTTTGTGACTCTCTACTTAAGATTAGATTAAGAAAATGATAAAATCTGCTGGTGGCCTTAGCTCCCCACCTTATTTTCCAACCTCAAAACTGGCTATTTTTCATGACAACTTTTGATGGTTTTATTCACGTTTGCGACCGCTCTGTTGCAACGAAATTGTTCCAAAGTGTTTCATAAATCTCTGTCGCGCCATACATTCGTCTAAATGATTTTTGTATTCCGCTACTTAATGGTTACTCTGTTCACTTCTTTGCTGACGCCATTGTAAGACTCATCTTTTCCCCTCTCCTCCCTTTCACCAATCGCTACGGTGTATAATGGTAATAGGTGGCCTTCTTTCACTGATTCCCTTACTTGGGAGATCTGACCATCACTTTCCTTTATGTTTGTGTGTGTGTGTGTGTGTGTATGCGCGTGTATGTGCTTGTGTTTGTCTGCGGGAGTGGTAGTTGTTTTCAATGAGCAAGCGTGACCGAATGAATAGACATTTGGCTTTGGTTATGTGGTGTGACTCATCTCATTGTCTGATTGTCGCTCACGCAAACTCGCCTCTTTGTCCTACTCTCTCTCTCTCTCTCTCTCTCTCTCTCTCTCTCTCTCT